CCAGCAGATATAACTTCCTTTGCTAAGAAAAAGAAGGTAGACAACAAATCCTCATTCTTCTTTGTTTTCCTTTTATTTTCTCTGCCTATACTTCTCAAAATATTTGTTCAGTTTAAAAAGAAAACATCCCACCCTTGATCACCTTCTTCACACGTCATGTAAAACCACTATGATTGCTTTTTTTCTCCCACAAGGAACAAAAACTTAACATTTCATGTTTTCAATTCTTGAAAATCAAAAAGGGCGTTTAGAAAAATTAAAAATGACAAAAAATATTAAATTATTAATTTTCAAAATGATTTGAGGATAGCACCATTGATATCATCATTTTAATTGTCTCCAAATAATTCCTTCAGCCCCTGGCAAATTCTTCCTGGCCATTCCTTACTTTTCTCTGACTTTCCGAGGCTTCATTATAAATGCTGTGTTTTAAGAGCGTGTCTTATTGCCCTTTATCTCATCACACAGCTTGTCCCACTCCCTTCACCCATCGACAATGTTTATATTTATACAATGTAGGCAGTTCAAACAATCTATGTAGAACTGAATTAAATTACTGACCTTAAAAATCTGACATGCATTAATTGGGAAGATAATAATTTATATAGGTGTATATCATGTACAGTATAGTTTGAGTCCTGAGAGTCAGGCTAACTTCTATAAATCAAATCCTACTTTTTTGCCTAGAAAAAAAAATTGGTCCAGATTCACATCTGTAAATGCTATGCATTTTTTTTAAATCGCACCTTTAGAAAGGAAAAAAAAACCACCTATGAAATGGTAAAAATAATTTAATTAAACAAGTACCATACAATAAAACATGTTCTCTTTGATCTAAATCAAAGTGAGTAGAAGACATGCCCTTGGGATTATCTCCTTCTTGAAAAATGGGAATTTCCTGCAATTTCTTTATGCTAAGTATAGTGAAATCTCTTGCCTATATGATCAGATATGTACTCCCCCTATTTTAAATTTCCTCTCTTCACCTACCTGTAGAATTGCTAGTAAAGTTATGAAAGTTCTTAATGCAGGGAGGCCCATATGTTATTCAATTAAGGGTGCTTAACAATGCAATTTTGCAACATGGTTCATTTATCCCTTTGTCCATTCATTCATTCGTCAAATATTTATTAAGTGCCAACTATGTACTAGGCAGTTGTAGATGCTGGGAATACAGTGATGAACAAAATATATAAAAAAACAAACAAACCCTGCCCTCATGGAGCTTACATTCTAGTTCCTCAAAAGGAATCTCTAGCTAAAACATGAGTACTCAAAATCCAAGAGGAAAGCTTTCTGAAAGGCTCCATTAGTCAGATACCTCAAAGGAGCAAAGGCTACAGTAAGAACTACATTTAGTGTTTCTAATGTTTTATTTTTATCAAAAGTAAAAATAACATCCTGTTAAGTTTACTCATTTCCTTGAATTTTAATTCATATTCACTATTTTTAATTTTCCTCCATTTATACTTTCTATTTCTAATAAATTCTACTAGTTCCTTGAAGAGAGTAAAAGAGAGACAATCCTTTTAAATTTCCAACCTAATGTATGATCAACAGCTACCAATCAAGTGCTGGGGTCTTGATAAGAGCAATTCTTTGCTATAATAGAATCAGCCTCACAATTACAGGATTACTTGCCACGCTGCCTCTGCATGACTTAACTACTGACTGGGGTTATAACTGGAAATGCCATTACCTGAAAGAATTTGTTAGCTATCTTATTTTCTTTCTTTTTCACTGTCCCATTAACTGAACTTATGCTTCTTAGTCAGCATTCATATAGGGTAAAGGTACACTCAGAAACTAGACTTTCCCCACGGCAGAGATTCCAGTTAATTTTTACCCGGCATCGCTGTGAGTGCAGTTACTGCTAATGTGCTCTGGACCCGTCTTTCACGGAGCTCTCAATTCCTGCCTCTACACTTGCTTTCCCTAACCAGATTGAATTTCTCTAAGTTAAATATGGCCAGGCCACACTGTTGTCAAGCTCAGTGGTCCTTCATTTTTTCCTTGGGCTTCTTCTCCCTCTTCATGTCACAGCCAATGGTAATGTTTTCCACAATCACCACTATTTCCACCCTCCTTCACTCTCTGACAGAATACCATAGGACATTAGGCAATCTGTAAGTATGCCACAGAGTGATAAAGGATGCAAAGCTAGGAATTAGGATACCAACTTTGCTCTTCACAGAAGGATAAAGAAAGCCCTGGGCATACTGAAGGAAATGCCACTCTGTGTATGATTTCTACATTTTCATTTCTGTATTTATTCAACAAATATTTATTGTTTATTAGGTTCCAAGGACTGTTGTATAGTTGGTTTCTTTTCATGGGAATACACCGACACTGCTCCAGAGCTTAATTTTGTCTGGCCCAAAGAGAAGGTATCAAGAAATGAAATCACAGTAGCCTTTAGAAGTCTTTAGAAGCAGTAAGAGACAGAATTCTACGAAGGGAGAAGGCCTGAGTCTTTCTCCCTTACAGCTAGGTGTATATACCTCTCACTGGCTCTATGTCTTTGCTCTAGTTTTCTCGTCTCCATTCTGCCTCCTATTTAACTAACCATAACAGGGCAATGGGATATATGTTACTTCCTATATTTATTAAATTACATTCCCATTTTCAACTTAAAAGGCAGACCAACTGAACATTACATATTTTCATCCTGAAACAAACAAAAAGCCTTTTTTTGTTTCTTTTGTGGGTCTTTTTTGGGAGGCGGGGGGGATAGGTCTACAGTCCTTAAAATTTCTTTCAAAGATTCTCCATTTGTTAACTCAGTAAACAGAAATTCAATCTTGGCAAGCATAAATACTGCATTAAAAAATAAAACAATAATAAACATTGTACTTCAAGAATATGCACAAAAAAAGAAATATAATCCAAGTTCATCAGGTGTAAGTGTTAAAGGTAAATAAATGTTTCATAAAGTAAATAAAAATCTATCCAAATAATTATTTCAACAAAAAATGGAATAGAAATAAATGCATTCAAAGGAAAAGGGTTGTCATTTATCGTTTTTTATACACTGAAAATAAGGATTCTCCACTCCTAAGAACCGTTTTCATGTAGATTTTATCATAAAATTACTTATATTTTCCATTTAACAATTTCTCTCTTCAGTGGTTACTATGAACTATAAAGTATTCAAAACTTAATTTCCCAGAAATTAAATATCTTCCTAAAAACTCTGTATAATCCCCATTACATAAGAATGTCACAGTATCTTTTCTTCATCACACAAAAAAACTATGATAATTATAACTTATTCTTTATTTGTCATCTTTCTACAGAAATTATCAAGATTTAGCCTTACCAGGAAATTATACACATTATGAACACAAGTTTTAATAGACTACTGATCATCAGACTGTTATGATGCAAGTATTTCTAGAACATGATATGATATCACAAATTAAGTCATTAATTCCAAAACATAGTTTATTAACAAAAGAGTACAAAGAAGTACAAATGGACATCCTATTTCCCCCAATTATGGTCCATCTATCTATCTATCTGTCTCCCTTTCAGTTCACGGCATGGCCTTCTTGAGCTAAAAGAGTGGGTAAAATACTTCTCCTCTTTCTAACAGGCCCAAGTAATCATCCAAAAACAAATCATTATGTATTTAAGTTATACAGTCCATGTCAATTAAAAAAAAAATGTTTTATCTATATGAATTGCTATAAAAGCCTCTTCCCTTGCAATACACCATGTGCCTAAACTGAATGAAACATATCAGAATCAACATCCAAAAATCACGTTGAGACACAGGGAATATCATATTACTAGTACGTTTGCCTTTAAGTAACAGTGTACAAATGAAAGCTTAGGAGTATCAAGAAGGATTTTCATAAGTATTTACTAAAAACACTTCAAGTCAAAAACATCTTATTAACCGAACTAAACTGAGGTACATGGAAAACATTCAGCTTAGTTGTGTTTCTTGCACTGATTTTAAATCAAACCTACTCACATATCTAATCTTACTATTATTTCAAGTTTCTTCAAGAATGGTTCCTTTTCAAGTGATTTCAATAAACCTATGTTCATTCCATACTTCTCCCTCTACAAGCCCATAGCACATATCTGAATCGTGGTAAATTTCCAATACTTTGTGATTTCTCTCCCAGGGCTCCTTCAAACATCAGTATAGACGGAGAGATTTTAGTATATTGCCATGTTCAGTAAACAATGACCAATTTGCTCTTTCTGCATTGGCTCATCAAGACAGAACATGTGGGATTACTTTACTGATGGTTCCTAAAAGACTTGTGTAAAATTTATTAGGTTCTGTATTTTTCTGAGTGGTAAGCTCCAGTCTTTTGGTTTGAGGAGGAAGCTAGGTCAGAGCTTACCACTATACTTTGCTTCCTCCTTAAAACTATTCTCATGAAGAACATGAGTTTCAGTGTTGGACTAAGCTGTAATAATATAAGGTGCTATACCAGTGATACATTTTTTGGGACCTGGAAATTCAGATGACCACTCACTAAACATAAAATCATCATTCCACAAAGATTTTATTCACATCAAACTTGCACAGTAGCAAAAAAATCAAACATAACTAAGCCACATATCAAAGAACAATATACAATAGAGATTTAAATTTCTCAATGGCATTGGAAAGTATTTCCATAAATAACATTTACAATTCTAGTGTTAGGTCTTTCAAGGTGTCAGAAGCTTCACAGTGCTAGAATTGATTTTTATCAGAACACATGCAAAAATGTGCAACATAATAATCCATATTAATGACACAAAAAAAGCACACCAGTTATTTGTCATTCCAGCACGGCCATGCCACTCTATGTTCTAAAACAAACAAACAGCCCCCCAAATCCGGGTCCCATTCATTCTTCAATTATGCCTTTAGTCACTCTGCTTTATTATATTCAAACAGTCACTGTTAGTGCTCTTCACCACGACTTTCAGGTTGACGTCACTCCCTGCCTGCTGGCTGTCAGGACTGGGGGACGCCCCTCTCCCAGACTCACCTTCTTCCGGATGTCTTCATCATTTGCTCCGAGAGAGGCATAGAGCTTGAATGCAGCCTGGCGGAGTTCATGAGCATGTTTTAAGTCATGATCAAGCTACGGGCACAAAAAAAAAGATATGTTACTTACAGCTCAACCCACACATTAAATGTTCAACAAAACTAATTGAGTAGAGTTTAACAAAAAAATGTTTAACAGCTATTATAATATTTAGTGCTCTCGTTGAACTCCTGATTATTTTGGGGTTCTGCTCACATATGACTGAGACCTAGCTGTGTTTGTGTCAGAAAGGTCTGGAATACAGGCAGTCAGCTTCTGTCTAAAGTAAACCCCACAACATTTGACACTGGTATAGGAAAAACCTCTGCCACCTAAAAATTCAGTGTTCCTACAGAGTAGCTTTAGTGGCACCAATGCCTGCTTGCACCAGCTCTTTGCAATGCTCTCGTCAAAAACAAAGCACGCACACTCAGGCCTGGCAAGCCCCAGAATACAGCTGACAACTTGAGTGCTCCTACAACAATGTCTTTAGCAGGCTTTCCCAAACATTTAGAGTAGTGCTAGCCTAATCTCAGCAGCCTTTAGAAACAAGGAAAACTTTGTGAAAATCCTTAATGAACAATATACCATGGTAATCATTACTATCTATCTATTACAGTTATTTGAGATTTATGTTTGGGGGCATTTTTGGACAAATCTATTAATATTACTTACTGGTATAAAATAATGCCACCTTTCCATATGCATAACCAGCTTTCTAAGTTACCGATTTCCCATGCACCTGACTTGACCAAACTACCATAACAATAAAATACAAGCATCTTCTCTGTACACTTTCAAAGAGGGACTACAAACCAATAAATACACAAAGCATGTCAATAATGTAAATAATTTTGTAACTAAGAGATATAACTTCTTCATCCAAATGATTGCTTTTTCCAAAAGGTTCACCCTTATGAGATGATGCAGGTGTTGTTCAAAACATTCTGAGACTCTCTTTTGAAACTTCCTAAAGAGCTAAGTGGCCTGTTAGCTACAAAACCCTAACAATAATATATCTTTATGAACTAAGAGAGTTTTAGGTTAATTTTCACTGGTTAATTTTCACTGATTCTGGTATGTGAAGATGGGAAATCCAGCTGGGTGACAACATTTAGTGTAACAAAAATAACAACAAAAACTGAAACTCATTTGGGGTGGTTCTGAAGGCAATCCTTAAAAGCAGTTCCGAAAATGTTTTGATCAAAGCAGGCATTGGTGAGTTATGGGAGGAATCTCCCAATATATAATGAGGAACTCTCATTTTGACATGTAAGTTCTAAAATACTTATTCTTAAAAGTTTTAACTACTTTCAAGTCATCACATATATTAGAATACTGAGCTGGACTAATAGACCATGAAAATCACACATTTATTAACATGTAAGAATTTAATATTCAAGTTTGGCATTAGGAGATCATTTAAAAAATTATTATTATTATAGTTTTACTGTGATGAAAATAAAATGGAAAAATCTTAACAGAAGGGAATACTCTTCTACACACTAGTTAAATGATTTACAGATGTGTAGGCAAGTTCTCCCATGTTCCCTCACTCTTGTGTCCATCAAAGTGTTCTGTTTGCCTTGCTGGGACGGTTCACTAAGAGTACTCATGAGGCCACAGTTAGGACTTGGCTCATGTATCTTTGAACCAGTGGAACACTGTGTCAGTGACAGCAGTAGCCAGAGTGAAAACAGACAAGGCAGCTGGTTCAACATAACCCATCACCTCTACCGGAAAAACGATCCTACCTTCAGTAGGAAGAGCAGGCACATAACTTAAACATGTAGAGGGCAGTATACATTATTAACACAAATATCAGTGAAGGTTATTTTAGGCCCTTCCTGAGACAGAGAAAGGATATACCCTTAATAGTTTATTTTATTTTCAATGTTAAATGCTAAATGAACCCTTGTCTGCCAGATGAATTTTTTTGGAACTCAGGGGGCATGGGAGACGTCAAGAGAACAGTTTTAAAAAAATTTACCACTGGGACCACTCGTATCAAAAATACAGTCACATTCATGAAACAGTACTGGTTACTGGTTAATTAGGAGGCAATGCTCTCTCTATCACGACCTCCTTAAATAAACTTTCTCTAACAGAATGTTTATCTCTTATGCTTAAAGAAATGGATATGACACACAGGCTGAGAAAAACAAAGTCAAGGGAATATCCACCTATTCTAAGAAACTTGTATTTTGAGAAAAAGTCAGCACATTGTGGTACTTGATGGTCTCACTATAGAGGTTAAATGGGGCTTTAGTTGTCACTAGCAGACCCAAAGCACAGTACAAACTTCAAAAAGGAAAAAGAAGATGGCAAAAGTTAGAAGAAAAGGTAGAAAAATGAAATAGTGGTAAAGAATAAAATAAAGTCATTCAGTCACCTATAACAAAAGATCACCCTTGACCTAAAGAATGAGAATATAGCAACAGAGATGAATCTGAGAACTTGAATAGGATTAGATAATACTGATATAATGTCAGTAACTAGCTTAGAGACCAGACCCCACTATTTTGGGGTTTTATTTGGGAATTAGGGATGCAATTTTCTTCTTTCCTCATTAGCTTCTTAATAAAAAAATTCCTGACAATAAAACGGAACAAATTGGATTGAAAAACTCATAAAGCAACATCATCTATGTTACCAAAGGTAAAAGATCCCTTTATTTAAAAGGGCTTTGAATTATAATCATCAATTACTTCAAGGTTGTGAACAGTCCGTAAAATTTTTCAAAACTACCTCTCTTGAGTTGCTGAAAAGAAAAAGAGAACATACCCTTTTAATATCAGTGATGGCGCTCACTGAGCTGGGATACTTGAAATAATCAGCAAGCATAGCAATGAGGTGGTCGGTAATGCTAGCAATTCTCTGAAGCTCAACATCTGGTTCAATCAGATAGGCGAGTGTCTCAGCTCCTTCAACTCTCTCCTCTAGCAATCTCTCCTTACTGCACATTCGGACCAAACAAGGCAATGTCTGGAAGGCAGTGAAATGAATTATTTGCTTTTTGGTAAAGGCAAAAGCTTGGTGGAGAGCATAAAAAAACAACTCAATGTTTTTTACTGGGAGTCACGTTTGTGATCCAATTCTCAATAAAGACTTTTAAAGAATAAAACGGTTTTTTGGAATGTAAAAATAAAATTCAGTGCCTATTAATCATTTATGCCAACACACTAAACTAATATGATCAAAGCACATTAATACAAACTCTCATTCGGCTTCTGCGATCGTTCAAGACTGAAGCGTTATTATGCAACCTTACGAAAGTCATTTAACAATCCCTAATAAATCATGGCTGATGCTTCTGCCCATCTATGTATTTATTTACCTAAAAGACATCCCAGCAGTTTAATCAGGAATTCTTTTGCCTTAGAAAAAGTATGCTATTTTTTCTTTAGTGAGTAATATGGCTGGGATGACTTCTATTTTTTTTTTTTGGTTTGGAGATTAATATCTATAGTTGCAAAAAAAATACAGCTTTAAAACTACGGTGATACTACTGTTACTCAAATTCCACCTGTTCTCCTATAATGCAAGTGAAATGCATCAGTCACAGTTCCTAGGTTTTCCGAAGAACTACTTGGGAAGACTGAGACTTACTAGTCCAGTTTTATTTCTGAGGTCCTTCAAAAACCTTGGCACTGGTTTGGTCATTTTTCTACATCAGATTCTTAGTAAAAATATCCTATCTTTTTACTATTTCTAAGGCTGATGAATCCACTTTAAAGGATAACGTGGAAGTAGAAATTGAAATATTACAATTATAGGAAGACTTCCTTAACTACCACAGTCAACTGTGCTTTGCTTTTTTCTGAGTTCCTATTACATCTTTACCCCAGAGTTTAGCACTTTATTGTTCACTATTGATTTCCGGCTCATTCGGGCTTTACCATACAAACATCGGCTTCCAAGAGGAAAGCCTTACTCTTATTTTCCCAGGACAGTCACTAACATTTATCAATACCATAAGTACATGGATTATTGAGTTTAATGCTCATAACTACTACACGAAGAAGATACTATGAACTCAGGTTACCAATAAGGAAGAAAAGGAGGGGTAGAGCAGTTAAGTAAATGAACTAAGGTCACTTGCTTCGTAGAAGCCCTTAACACTCTCTGCAGTGTTGTTTACTTAGGGGGTTCTCAGAGCTCATTAAATTAATTGACTTGCTTCACCAAAGACTAAAGGAAACATTCGTCTTCTTTAACCGTGGGCTCATTTTGAACACTGATAATGAGAAACCTCACATTCATAAAATGACAATCAATTTATTTATACTTGTTTTGTTCTTTATAGCTAATGAGACGTTTAATGTATTTAATATATTGTTATTTTCACCGTAACCCTGTGGAATAGATGAGCAGGAATTATTGCCTCCATTTTCATAATTAGGAGTCTGACACATCAAAAGAATAAGAGGTGTGCCCAAGGTTACCAGGCTAGTCAGTGTTGGGAGTGCTAACAGCAGAATCCAGGTCTTAGGACTTCTAAGGCTAGCCTCCTATCCGGGTTTTGCTGAGTCCTTGTTGATTTGGATATACCACAATAATGATGATTGCTTTCATGTGTTATTTACTTATTCTTTCTCATTATGCCATTTGATCACATGCCATGAGGGTGATACAAAGTCTTTATCTGCAGAGCTAGTGAACCGTGTTACAAACTTAATAAATATCAAGGACTAATATATTTTCTATTTCACCTAGGTTTACATATTTCTACAATTCTGCATCCTCTTAATTACCATAAAAATGAAAAAGGTATGACAAGGAAAGAGCTATTTCACTTTGACTTTCAAAATACAACTAAAACCAATTTTTAAAAACTACATAGCATTCCACTGAAAAGAAAACCAGTGTTTTATTATTTTATGCTATGCACACATACCATAGTGATCAATGTGTAAAAACAAATAGGAATACCAATATTTATATTCAACACTTATGACTGGGTAATTTTCACATGCTTTTAGAGAGAAGTAATTAGCTCACCTTTAACACTATACAGTTGTCATCTGTCCGAATTGCTCCAGCTCTACACATGTAAGTTAAACTGGAATAAGATGGCAGAAAGTTAAGTTTTTGTTTGTGTTTTAAAGCTTTTAAAGGAAAATTACTTGCCTTAAAGATTAAAAAAAAAAAAAAAGACAACTACTCTCATTTATCTTTTGGCATTCATTTATCTGAGGTTCTGTTAACTTAATAGTCAAAAGACAACTAACTAATATATACAGATATATTTTTTTTAAAAAACTACAAATTGTTTTAAAAATAAATGGCCTAATAAGTGGATAAATTTTGAAGCTAGATGCTGGGTACACTGGAGTTCTTTATACTTTTCTCTATACTTTTTTATGTTTAAATTTTTCTATTAAAAAAAAAACCCACTAAAAATAAAATATAAAGTTAACAAAGTATCTAAGTTTAAATGAAGTTAAGTTGGGACATTCCAACTTCAACAGCAATAGAACTATCACAGAAGCAGCTAACTTGTAACACTTATAAGTATCCATAGAAATTAACTAACTATCCATAGGTTACCAGTAGTGGCTCTGAGAGTCAATGACTTGGTTCTATTAAAAAACAATTTACCTTCATAATTATATCTGGCTTTCAATAAGAATAAAATTACTTTGTACTCTCAAAGCAGGTAATGAACATTAGGCACTTCAGAAACTTTAATTAATGAATTCCCTTTTTGAATTAGATTCCTTTAGTAAGCTGAGTGAAAAAAAGGAAAACTAAAACACCCCATGTTCTGACTTCTAGGAAAAGCTATAAACAAATCCATAAAATTCTTTACTTATATTGCAGAGGGCTGAACTTTTTATAGCTGTTGTTTTTTAAAATCAGTTCTATGAGAGGATTACCTTACTAACAAAGAAGCAAATACTCAGTTTTGAAGTTAAGACAAAAAGCAAACAAATAAAAAATATACAAATTATATAAACAAATAAAAAATAAACAATTCATTGAACCTGAGTAATTCACTGAAATTCCCCATTCTCGCCAAATAATAGAGAGCCACAGCTTCTTAAATGCTGAAACTAAACAATTCATTTAGCACAGAACCCTACACAACCTATCTATTGCTCAACCTGTTAATGTGCTAATAATTACAGAATTAAGATGTACTGAACGAAGGCTTTTATGAGCCAGGAATTGTGTGAATAAGAACTTTATACAACTATCTTATAAACTGTCACATCTCCACGTGGATTCCTTGTTTTGTTTTTCCAAAAGATGAGAAAGCCACATTCTCTGAAATCATGTCTTGGTTATCAACTTCAACTACTTCTCACTCCGTGTTTCTATATCTTTATATTTTCCTGGCTTAATACTTAGCATAATATATGTTGGTTAATTCTGATCTACAATCATTCTGTATTATTTCAAATGAAATACAAGTAGAAGGGAATAAATGTAATAAAGAATGTAAAAAAATAATATTTTGCAGATAGTCTTAGATGTTAAATGAGTTCCGGTTCTATACACTACTGAGTAAAATGAGTAAAAACCTCACATCCATTTAAGAAAATATGAGACAACTGCCTTTCTAAAAATCCCCAAACACAGTGGGGATTGGAAGTGAGCTAATTAGGCTGTCCAAAAATACTCTAAGGTAGTGATAAAGCACTGTCTTTCTTCCCACATTGTCTTGACTTTTACCATTTTGCTGATGTGAGCTGCATCTCAATAGGCTTATCCCTCTGTAACATCTTCACAAAAATTTGTGGTAATAATTCTCCATCAACCAAAACTAGAAGTAAAACAAACAACAAGAATTAAGGAATTCTTTAAATCTACAAAGTTCACAAATAAAATCTTGTAGGTGCCACTGAAAGTTCCAGCGTACCATTTACCAGGGTCATCGATACCTGGGGGTTTTCAAATGCTAAAACTGAGAAGCATTTCAGTGCTTGCATTCGGACCTGTAAAAATAAATGAACACACAAACAAAGCATTTATTTTAATTTTGCAAATATGAATTTTAATGTCTCAGAATCTAAACAGAAGAAATTACTTTAAATCTGCTTAATGTACTAAAGGAAGGACTAAAGAATAAAAATAAGACCTGTGTGTGCATCTGAAGCGTGCAGTAAGTTAAAATTATAAAAAGTTAAAATTAATTTTGAAGTAACAGAGAAAACAGTGAAGAAGTAAATGTGAAGTAGATAAATCCCTAATCAAATTTAAAAGAACACTGTACAAAATACAATGTTGGTAAGGCAAAGGGAATTTAATAACAATTAATTACCAACTGCCTTCCAAATGGGACATTTCTTCTTCCCAAACTACAAAACAGTGAACTGAAGGGAAATAAAGAAAGAAAGAAAAAAAAGAGTACTCTTATAGTGGGATGGGGGTGGGGGAAGAGAGGAAACAAAGTTACAATAAAAGTTTGAAAAGGACTAAACCAATTTAACTTTCAAAACACCAAACACCTATAAATTATGTTACACTCCTTAAAACCAGGTAACTGGTCTGGGATGACATTAAGGGCTCAAACTCTTGACCACATACAACATGTTTTTATTTTGTAGGGGATTCTATGACAGTTGTTCTTTTTCATTTTTTCTGTTTAGTTTTCACCAGCTGATCTAATCCTCACTTCCAAGCCTGAGTACATATTTGATATTCTTTTGTGGAACCTGAGACTGGCAGGCTAGGTAGCTGAGGTGTGAAAAAATCCTGTCCCTCACTTGGGCAATGCTCCTATCCTTGTGAGCTCTTCACCGAGGGTGAACTTTGGGTGTCTGAGGTAGGAAAAACATGCATATTAGCAGGCTGCAATAAAGCTAAGGACCAAAAAAGCAGACTATGATCGGTGCAAGTGGACAGAAGACAAAATGGCAGCTTCTCTGCTCTAAAGGAAACTCCTGGCACAGTAAGGACAATGTCCCAATATTTGCTTCAATTTGCTAGTTGAACAATGAAATGTCCACAGTTTTAGCTAAATGCCTGATAATGTATCATGATGCTGCTTACACAAAAAACAGTAAAGAAAATTTATAAACAAATCTGAAAACCCTTGACTTTTTATCTCAAAATACAAAACAGAACACATTTTTAATGTTGATGTATGTGTGGGTATACGCTGTAAGTTTCAGTCACTGTGGCTAAATAAAGGTCACACAGATGAAATCCCAAGTCTTTCCTGATACAGCAAGCCATTGTTCTTATTACTATAAGGCATCAGCTTTGGCACAGACACACAGCTGGAGGAGACTATTAATGATCACAGGTGAAAATCAACAGCAACTCATGCCACAACCATATCCTAAAAAAAAAAACGGAAAGCCAAGGGTAGAGTTTCTTTTTTAAGGAGAATTCTATAGGTCAGACAATGCCCCATAACATTTTACTAATAAAATACTACTCTTGATCACAGTAGCTAACGAAGAAGCAGTAAAATAATGTGGGTCTCTTTCTAGATCAAGATTCTAGAAACCAAAAATAAAGTATAAAAATCTGGCCATAATTTTTAACATCTTACTTTATAAGATACTGAGGTTAGTAGGTGAGCAATATTCTGAACTGCACCATGGTTAAATAAAATTGTTTGATGATCCGGACCCTGTAAAAAAAGAGAATATAGTAATACATTAAAAAGAGTAATAATTCATTACATAAAACATTTACTCAAATGTAGAAAACCACACAATACGATGGAGAATTCTGCTTTTGCATATAGCCGTCTCGAAAGGCAGGGGAGACGCTGTTCTTAGCCCTGGGAGGAGCTGCCATGCCTTACCCCATTCCAGTGCAGAATTGCTGCCTTTTCTCCCCAAAATAAGGAAGGGTGCACAGAAGGAAGCCTGGCACAGGCCCACTGCAGTCCTTAAACAGACACCCCTACAGCAACAGAGCCACTAGGAATTCTGCATTTCCTGTGCACACCCTCGCCCTATGCCCACAGGAGAGAGTGGCAGTCATTTTTACAATTAAGACTGATGGATGAACTAGTCAGGAGATATCTAAAATAATAATTGTAAGATGAACTGGAGCAGAGACTAATCAATCTCAACACATCAGGGAAGTCTGAGTGATGAATGTTGGGAAACACAACACTCCATAACTGAGAAGTGAACAGTGTGTTTTGGTTTGTTTCCATCTCATTTCTCCTCCCAATACTATTACTTCTTAGAGTAGGAAGATGAAGAAATAGAAAAATTCAGGTATTTTAGTTTTCATTAACTGTTTTCTACTAATCGATTTACTGAAGATCTTTAAAGTGGCAGAAGCTAAAGGTTTGTGCAAGACTTGCAATTTGCCACAGTTCTTATTCATTCATTTTATGTCCCACCCACCCACTCAAATCATGAAAAGTCAATTAAAGCCAGGACAAGGATGGTAAGTCATACTTACCATTATTCAAAAGAGAAAAAAAAAAAAACAGCACTGAAAGGCTACCTGTCTGGGTTTACCAGAGGAAGCCAGTTACTCATCTAGAAAAAGAGCTCTCAAACCAATTCCTCCAATCCACTATATAGCCAAGTAACAACTATCGTAGGCACGCTCATTCTTTCTTATACCAAAATAGTCATCATTTCAAGTGGGGAGATTAGCATTCATACTTCTGAATAATAAAATAGCCATATTCTATTTTATAAGTAAAAATCCCCTAAACATTTTATATACCGTTAAAAGGGTCCTTTAAAATTTTCAGCAATTTCTCTTCATTTCTATACATTTTCTAACTCCTAATTTCCTATTTTTAGTCATTATATAAGACTCCAGTTTACTCCAGCAAACCCCCATTACATATTTTAGGTAGTTTCTAATGTCTATTACAAACAGTTTTGTTGAACTTGATTAAAGCTGCATCTCAGTGCAGATGCTTAGTATAAATTCCCAGAGTACAATTGCTTGATGTATTTATCACTACCTACCCATCTAGAATAGTGCAAGCTTGCTTTTATAATAACTGAAAACACTGACATTCTCAGGGCACAGGCTGGAAGTGTGCTCTGTCTCCTACCTCTTCCTCACCCACGGGTCTGCAGTTATAATTACAGGTACTACTTCCGGGGTACTTGCTATGTGCTTGGCACTGCTCTGGAAGCTTTACTTGAATTACCTCGTTTGAAATAGAGGAGTCTCTGGCTGATTCATTATAAAAACAGTGGTGGAGACTATAATAGGGAAGTCAAGGAATGAAGGGTCTCCTAAGAATCAGACCTATTTTTTCCTGCCTAGTAACAAGTAGATAAATAAAATAAATTGTGAGGATAAGACTAAGTTAGCCTTGGCTAATGTGTCAGCATACTAAGATTTTTTTTTTGCCTGCCTTATAAACTTTAGCATCCCAAGTTAAATTCCAGCAGTGCTTAGCAGGACAGCTATGTAGGCAGGGTGCTGCCTCCACCCCTTTCACCTCATTGCTCTTCTACCTCTTATTTAGCCAATTGCTCCCCTGCTTTGAGGCAACCTAATACTAATAGATTATTTTATGATCCTTATGACATTTATACATATACAAAAAATGACATAAGTATATTCTTTCCCCCTATTTTAACACAAATTTAACATAAACCTATACTATATATTTATATAGGTTTATATATAAAGTATTATATGTACTATAAATACATATATATTGCCCTAAACCTTTTATTTCCTTTATTACATATCTCAGAGACCATTTATATCAGTACATAAAGAGCTTTCTCATTTCTTTTTTGGCCTTATTGATCGTATGAATGTCACATACTTTAACTAGTACCCTATAGTTAGACATTTAGCTTGTTTTCAGTTTTTTACTATTACATACTCGTACATCACTTCAGTGACTATCCATGTGCATACATCTTTTTTTTCCTAAGAGCCAAATCACTTTTGGAATGTCTTCACTGATGGAATTGCTTATAAATAATGGTGAAAAGATCAAGCACATTGCAATTCTCTGAACATAACTGTTCGCCACTGCTTACAAGATAATGTATTTTTTAATCCCTCACATTTTTTGCCCCCAAGATTGCAGCAAATATTTGTTACAAAAGAAGCTCTCACTACTCTCTGTGGTCATATGTAGGGTTGTGTAAAACAATTTCAAGGAAGGAATTAGTGGCTGAACCAACTAGAGAAGAGATGCTATCATTTGATTGTTATCAAGTCTCTCTTCCGTCTCTCCAAATCAGCCTGCATGAACCTGGAGTTACTGGGGCAGCATCCACAGGGTGGGAGACACGTAAGCCCTCATGATCTTGAACTCCAATAGACAGGTCTCAGAAATCTGAGTAACTGCTTAAGAAGTGGCAATAATTTAGAAGTGAGAATTCCAATTAATATTATTACCAGCGCTTTTTTCTCCTTAATAAATTAGGGGAAGAATTTCAAAGATATTATTATGATTATAAAACAAACACTTTAGTATTCTCTCCTTTTTTGTCTCCTCTCCCCAAAGTATGAAAATTTATTTAATATTGATACCAGTATATGCAAATTTGTGAATGAGTCTTAAAATTCTACTACGAATCTTATTTCGGGCCTATATGTAAACTAAACATGAAAATAAAAGATTTTTATAATTAATGATAATACAGAGATCATCAGGCCGCTTGTTTTCAAAGACACATATTGTTAGTGTATCGGTAGAGAAATTAATATTGTATTTTAGGTTATTTCTATTGTCACTGGATTTATAAATGCAATAATGTTGCCTGAGGTCTAGTTATATCTCAGAAGACTTAATTTGGACATTTAAGTGCAATGGCAAATGCTAATTATCAGGGTCAAAGAAAGCTGAGTTAAGAGGATTTTCTCTGATAACATCTTCAGTTCTGTTAGTGGCATGAGGGTGTCTGTAAATTCTTGCTCAGCTAAGTTTCTCTCCAGCAAAAGAACTAGCGATTTAACGGTATTCCTTTATCTATGATTTCAGCTAAAACAGAACTAAGAAGTTTCCAATGAGCAAGCCTAAAAGTGTTGAGAAGTTTCTAACAAATACTTCTAAAAGCGATCTGGGTAACTTCGGGAATGGGATTATTCAAACTTCTCATAATTTAACATATTTGACATGTAGAAGTTATATACATCCAGATCCAACTTTCAGTGCCCTTTTGGGATTACTGTAGTTATAACTAGTAGATGCACTCAGGTATAGATGCTCAAAGATCTTTAACAATGGACAGGGTTCTGGAGTCCCCTCTGCTGCCTGCCAGGGCTGGCTGTAAGACATCATTTCATTGTTGCGAGATTCTAGACCCTGTTAGTTCAGCTCATTTTTGGCAAATGAACTGCAACAAAATTGTTTTCTCAAAGCTTTTCTTTGCCCACCACAAAAGATTACCTCACATCCCTGGTCCTCTGAGCTAGCTTACCCACTGTTAAAGCAATCTGGGAAGAGAAACTTCAAAGATTTTTGACAAAAATTTCAAATTCTAAATGCTCTAAAAAGAACTGAATAGGCTGTGATAAACAGCTAGGATTTGGGAAGGGGCTTTAACATTTAAATTATAAGCAATAGAAAATTTTTCGGGAATCAAATGATTTAACTTTATTTGGGAAACTGTTTTAAAATGGCATAGGTCTGTGATCTTCCTAGTTTAGTACACAGGTGTTCACTTCTCTTTCCCTTCTTTCCTCAAGTTCCCCAGACTCTTCACTTTGCATTTGTATTATAAACAATAGTTAGGTGAGTAATGCTGTCCTGAAAAAATTATAAAACGTCTCAAATAAATAATCACCCACTATTATCAAAGGAGTGCACTGAATGTATAAACTATGAAGCAAAATAAGTAGAACTTCACACCATTCTTCAGTTACGTTCAGGCCCTTTTAATAACACAAATTTCTCTCCACAAAGAGCAGAGAAGAATCTCTCATTTCTCCTTGTATGAGATCACTTAAAACAATTTACAAAAATGTGGAACCTGAGGGTGTGGGGAAACAGCCATGATTACACACTACTCTTAGGAATATAAAATGGTACAACCTCTGTACAAGACAATATGTGGTAAAATTACAAATGTATATACTCTTTGAGTCAGCAATTCCGTTTCTTATACCATGTCTTACATATAAGGTACTTGTTGCACATTGTTTTGTAATAATATAAGACAGGAAACAAGCTAAATGTCCAATAATAGAGGACACATTAAATAAATTACTGTACGTCTATAGAGTAAAACCCTATACGGCTGTTTAAAAAAAAAGAGGGAGCTCCTTATGTACTGATACGAAATAGCCTTCAAAATATCTTAAGTGAAAAATGCAAGGTGCAGGAACTATGTATGGTATACAATCATTTGTGCCAAAAAACGGGGAGGGGAATATATACATAGGTCTGCTTACATGTATAGATTATCTCTGGCAGGATACACAAAGGAGGCACATCTCCTGAGGGTACAGGAGATTTTACAGTACAGAGAATACTTATGCTGGCTCTTACTTTACAGCAGTGTGAGAAGATCTGACAGATGTACTCCTGGGTGTAGCGGGACCTGCTCAGCAGCGCCATGAGGTGCGGTATCACCGTGGCATCCTGGAGGGGAGGGAAGAAGAGCACAGCAAGCAAGAACTTGGACGCTGCGCGCACAGCTAACACTATTTCCACAGGCAGGTACGTTGGCAAAGCTTTTATCTTAGTGACAGTAACTCAAGTCTGCTTAAGGAACACAGGGAAACAAAAGCAACATGGCCATGAAAACTGTCTGGGCAAAGGACAAGAAGAGGGGCTTTCATATTCATGCTCGACAATAAAATACAAGAACAGGAAATTCTCAATTTCTTCCCCATAAACAGCCTAGATCCCCACAATAAAACAAAATCATTTCAGTAAGACTTGACAGAAATCTGTTCTGAAACCCAAAGTGAGATAACTGGTAAGATATTAATAAATTGCTTATAAGGCAGAATTATTGCATAAAAATAAAATCTGGCAATTTTGATCTCTGAGGTGTTATGGTAAGTATCAGTAACCAGTACCAATCCCTCATAATGACTGAAGTTAGCTAATTTCAGTCTTCACAATAGCAACTCCTCACTTACAGCATACTCTCTACCTACTATTGACACTTAGCATCATACATGATGGTACAGGAGAGAGAAGAATCCAACCAGCCTGCTACAGGGCTCTCCAAGAATCTCCTTTTTCTCAGAGTACAAAAGGAATTAAAAATTGAAATGGGGGGCCGGCCTAGTGGCACATTGGTTAAGAACTGGCTTGAGATGCCAGAGGGCCCCGGTTCGGATCCCACATATGGGGGCCAGTGACACTGCCCTCTACAGCTAAGATGCTGAACAACAGCTCAACTTGGCACTGGGCTGCCGTGAGTCGCTGGCGATGGCAGGTGGATTGCCATGGGCTACCGTGTGTAGCCAGCAGCCACAGTGAGCAGCCAGCAGCCGCTGTGAGCAGCTGTCCAGAAGCCAATGACTGATCTGCCTCACCCAGGAAGAGCGCAATGATGGTGCCAACTTGGGCCAGTGAAGCAACATCCTCTACAACTAGACTGAAGAACAAAAGGATAGCAACTTGTCTGTTCCCCTTCCCCCAATTCCCCAACAACAACAAAAAAACAAACAAACAAAAATCTTAAAAAAAAAAAGTTGAAAGGGGATTTGAACTGAACCACAGATGCAAAGGAGGTTTAGCTCAAGCATCCAGTGAATGCTGTCGTGAGTCCTAGAGATGTGCTTCTCAAGTACGAACGTGCATGCAAATTCCTAGGGAATACTCTTTATGTGCAGATTCTGGCTCTATAGATTTGGAATAGGACCTAAGGTTCTGCATTCTAACTAGCTCCCAAATGAGGCCACACAGACCACACTTTGACAAAAAGACACAGAGGGCAAGGAAGAAAACTTACAAGAATACCACTGTTGGGATGAACAAGATTTTGGGTTTCCCTTAGAATGAAAAAAATACCTAATAGAAAAACTAAGTTAAAAAACAACGGAAGGCTGTTGATTCCCTAGAAGTAGAAGACTTTCCTCTTGCTTTTAGTATAACACTCTGTGTTGTCAAAAACAGTTTAAAAACAAAATGGAAAAATTAGAAAACCTCAAAAAAGAAGTCAGGTACTAAATGCATAGAAAGAAAGCGAAGAGAGAACATCAGAATGTCAGGTATGTGTCTATTTCACTGGGGAGCGCGGAGACAGTGGTTGGTTCCATTGGCAGAGACAGGGAAGGAGGTAGCAGCTAAGACAGAACAGGCAATCGAGAGGAAGATTAAAAAAAGACTCTGTTAGGCTCCTAAAACCACTTCCACCTCCTTCCTTTCCTTTATCGCTCTCTTATCCCTCAGTATTTCTGTCACAACAGCCCCATCCCATTTCTTGACATCTGCCCCGCTTTCTTCCGACCGTGTTATATATCTGCAGTTTACAGGTAAGTAAACAGGCAAAGAATAGTTACATAATTTGTCCAAAGTCACCCATCGAATAAACAAGATTTCAAACTAGACATCTTGCCCTCTTTCTATCTGACCACCATCTTGAGTTTAGTGCCCAAGTTGCCATGGCAACGGGCCTCTACACAATCCAACTCATAGGCCTCAGTTAATTACACTAAAACACTACTCTCTGTCATTATCCTAGCCAATGCTTTTCATGAACTCTCCATTGTCTCTGAAGCATAAAAGTTGAGATATTTCAAAATTTACATCTTCTTACTGTGCAAGTCACTCAATGTCCCTGGTTCTTAATTTTTCTCATGTAAAAAAGTTAAGTTGGCATACACCACAGTTTTCCCAATTATGCCCCGCAATTCATTAGCGTGTCATGAAACTATTGGGCTGTCGGAAAAGTCATGACACATTTTGGCAATGAAAAACAGAAAAAATACGTCACGACTTTTCCGACAACCAAATAGTTTAGGAAGTGAGGAGGAAGGAGTTAAAACAGCTGGCCAGGGTCCATTTCTCCCTCTATTACTGGGCTGGGGGTTGGGCAGGAGCTTCTAGAGTAAAGAAGACAGTGGCTGGTTTAATTTCTTAAAATAAGAAGACCTTAGGAGAACCGTTCACTACGCTCAAGTTTGAGAACCACTATAGTAAACAATTCCGCGATTTATGAGGCATGGCTCCAGCCCCCTGAGGTATAAAATTGAGGTATTTCATAATCTACAGCCTCCCTGTTGTGCAAGGTGACCCACAAATCTCCCTTACAGACCTTATGTATCATTACAGGCCAGAGGAGAATGTGCCTGATGTGTGAAGGATGGATTATGGAGTCACAGGACATGTCCCCTCTTCCTGCTTACTTTGCCTATGCCCTGTGATTGCTTATATTCTTCAACTATTTGTAAAG